TACATATTTTCATTCAGTTTTCCTCTCTCATAACTTATAACTACATTAGATTAGATCTCATAACTACAGTAGGCTAAAGTTTTAAGAGTTTGATAATGTTCACTAAACTTTGGCACATAATTTCTTTATAAAATCTTGGCCTGAAAATTGACAGCTTACATGATTTTGATCATGTAATGATTTTACAAGGTGTTCAAGAATTACGAGCACCTTTTCTCTAGTAAATAGCTCCGTCTAGAGTTAACCATTTTCCATAAAACTTGCTAGAATTTGCTGCTTATTTTCAACACTTTACTTCCATACTTTAAAATTACCATTTTAAAAAAAAAGAAACTTAAAACTAGCAATTCTATAGTATTAGGTTGGAAAGAAGGTTCTCGGAAAAATTTTGACTGGAATTTCTTAAAAACGAATCCAACAATTCAAGAACGTTTTCTTCTATTATTTACAAGTCGACTCCAAGAAATTACTCGTAAAAAATGACTGCAGCTTTTCCTTAAAATTTTAGAGATTTTTGAAAAATTATTAGGTTCCAGCTTAAATTCAGTTCACTTTTTGCACCAGAAAAAGTATGAGAAAAATTCCTTATAAGGTAAACTAGCATAAATGAGCAATACGATCTATAATCTCTATTTTTAACCAACAAATTTTTTATAGAGAAGCTGTATTTCAAAAAATCATTTTTTAGTGTCATCTTCTTGGCACTGAGCGCTTGCTAAAATAGGTGATTCTGAAAAGTTAAAGCGTTAAATAAAATTTGCCTTAATCACAAATTTTCCCTATTTTAAGTGATTGATTTTAGGTTTTGAATGGAACCCATTGCTTATCCATTAACCCATTAAAAACTTGTTGAAAGGCTGGTCACTCAAGTCATTTCAATCACTTCAGGTGAAGAAATCTCTGATTTTTTTACCTAAAGCCCACTCTGATTATTTTTGTCAAAAACTTTTTGAAATATAGCCAAGTTTATAATAAAATCTGGAAAGAATTCATGGCTTGGTTTTTGAGAAATCAACATGCAAACTTTTTCCGAGGACTTTCTTTCCAACCTGATACTTACGATTTTAAATTTTAACAGCGGAAAAAAGGAGATCCAGTATTGCTTTACTGCTAAATCTAATGACTAACGATTTTCTTAAAACTTTAAAACCTAACCAGCTATTATTAATCTTTGCTATTTATCTAAATACTTGTATTGACATTTATTATGGTAGCTTATAGTTAGTTTTGACCAACGTTTCATTATACTAACTTGTACAGGATGTTCAAGAATTATGGGCACTTTTTCTTTAGTGCCTAGCTCCGGCTAGTTATTATTGGCAATTAATTAATTATTGGTAACTTTTTTGGTAGAATTTACTGCTTATTTTCAACACTTTTGTTCAATATTTTACTCAGAAACTCAAAATTAGCAATTCTCCAAAAATCCGCTTCAGGTCCGCTGGAATGCGGTTCCTTGTAACCAAATTTTGAACTTGAAGAGTTACTTTAATAATAACTATCCGATCATGGATGAAACACTTGTAAATGCCTAAATTACAAATCTAGAAAACCTAAGCTATTTGCTAATTTTTTGAATAGTAATTGTTTATGTTCAAAATTTGATCGCAAGAAGCCGCGTCCCAGAGGCTCTTAAGTTCTATAGAATTGCTAATTTTGAGTTTCTGAGTAAAATATTGAATAAAAGTGTTGAGGTTAAGCTGTAAATTCTACCAAGTTTTATGGAAAAAAAGTTAACTCTAGACGAAACTAGCACTAGAGAAAAATTGCCCATAACTCTTGATCACCTTGTAGAAAACAAGTCTAATTCAAAAAGTCTAGAATACAAGTCTTGTCAATTGGGTTCATTTTTTTTGCTCCATTTACTGTAATCATAATTTGAGTTAATCAAATGAATTTTCAGAAGAATCTCTCTTACAATGACGTCTTTTTCCGAAAAGCAACTGGCCGAGTTCAAAGCGGCATTCAGCGTCTTTGACAAGGATCAAACGGGTACGATCACGGCGAATGAGCTGAAAATAGTCATGGATTCACTCGGGACGAGCCTTAACGAGAACGAGCTCGCGAATTTGATGTCAAAAGGAGATTCGGACGGAGATAGGACCATCGATTTCGCCGAATTCCTCAAAATGATGGCCGGCAAGATGAAAGATACGATCTGGGAAGCCAAGTCGCAAGATTAATAAACATTTTTGCAGTGAAAGATTCCATTGAATAAGCAACGAGTTACTGTTTTTGAATGAATTTTCCGAAAACAAAGTTTCACCTAAGAAGAATAGTTTATTTTGGGCTTCAAAAGGGCATTAGAGAGTTATTTGAAAACGGGCAAAACAATTTTTTCTCACAAAATCCAGTTTCATCTTATGAATTTGTCGTTTGAAATCTTAGGCTCACCAGGAAACAACAGAGATTTTCTTATCCGTTTTTGCAAAATGATTCGAAAATGCAAGAAATCTGGTAAACAAGCTTGAGGTCAAATTATAGCTCAAATTAAAAAAAATCAAATTCATTTCACTCATTCACTCATGTGACAGCAATCTATAAAGATTGCTGTCACATGTGTTATTTTGTTTGTTATCAATTAAAAGCTGTCATAATACTTATTGTAAAGTAAAAATAGAGCGAATTCGAGCAGCTAAACATCAAAATAAAATAGAAACAAAAGGAAGGAATCAAACCCGAGCAAAAACTTGAAAGCTTGTTTCAGAGACAAGACCCTTATCCACTAGACCACAGGCCAAAGATCTTCGTGGCGCAATCGAGGCTCTTCACCTTCGCGGGGTTTCTGATTCGCTTGACCCTCTAAAATAAAATTTATGAGAGAAATCAATTATCAGGTTGGCAACTAAATAATGGCCCTTTTCAGTAAAAACAAAAAATTTATTAACAAGATAAACAAATATCAACATCAATCCAAAAGGTATTCTCCGTCATTCTTTATTACTTCTTTTCACTTTTGACGGAGCAACTGGATTCCTCTCTTGAAAAATTCTTCTGGTTGATCGTCAAAGAACTTCTGCACTGAAATTCGGACTTCGTCAAGGTCATTGAACTTTTTCTCGGCTAGAAAGTGTTGCATCGATCGAAAAAGATGGTAATCACTAGGCCCCATATCCGGGCTGTATGGCGCATGAGGAAGAACATTCCAGCCCAACTCCTCGGTTTTCTCCATTGTAAGTTTTGCAATGTGTGGTTTTGCGTTATCATGGAGAAAATGAATTGAAGAGGGTTCGAGTCCTTGAGAGCGAATTGCTTGATCTACACGATGTAGTTGAGACGAATAGAGTTCTGAATTAACCGTTTGCCGCCTTTTGAGAACCTCGAAATGCACCAACCCACGAGAACTCCACCACACACAGAGGAGAGTTTTCTTTGAGTGAATATCCGGCTTCGGAGTTGGTTTTGGGTCTTCGTTTGTGCTAAGCCACTGTCGTTTTCGCGTTCGATTATCATAAAAGATCCATTTTTCATCAGAAGTGACAATGGAATCCAAGAAGCTTCCCTTTTTCGCAAGTTTTAGTAGTATTCCAGCTGTGATAACACGAGAAGCCTTATTTTCTTCGCTCAATTCATGCGGAATCCACTTTCCACTGCGGTTACTTTTCCCCAATGCATGAAGTCGCTTTTCGATTGCAGTATGCGAAAAGCCCAATCGATCCCCTAGCTCGCGTGATGTTTGACTTGGATCCTCCTTTAAAGCTGCTTCCAAAGTATCGTTCTGCAGAAGTTCGGGTCGTCCTTGGCGAGGCTCATCTTCAAGACTTTCATCCCCTTCCTTGAACCGTCGATACCATCTCTTACATTGTGTTTCGGAAAGAGCTTCATCACCAAAAACTCGCAATAAATCTCTGTGGGATTCGGCAGCTGTTTTGTCTTGTTTGTAGTCGTACCAGAGACAGACACGCATTCGATATTTGAGATCTTCCATTTCTAAACAAAATTATTTGAAAAGTATCAAATCAAGGAAAGTAAAAAACGTATAATAATGCACCAGAAATTCAGTAATATTCAATTAACAACAAGCGAGGGTAGATTAAACGCAAAGATTAAAAGATTTTATCAAAAAACGGCGAGGGCCATTATTTAGTTGCCAACCTAATAGTACCCCACCTTAAAGGGGGAGAGAAAAAAATAGTAAGGAACCCATGAGGTCCAATTACAGTATTTACTGTATATTAATGCAAAGTTTTAGTACACGGTGGCGAGCGCGGTAAACAATAACGAATACTTTCCTGTACTCACAAAAGCTTTTATTGAATGGGTTCGTTTTATCCCAATATGCGATTTGAGAATGTCCAAGCTAAAATTATGTCCGCTACTGTACACAGATGCTTAGCAAGTGCAAAACTGCCGGTTTCTAGTTCGGATATTTTATAGATTGTACTATTCTTAATGTATTCGGTTGGTGCATTGAAGACTGTCGGACTTTGAACTACAATTTATTCAACATAAAACCATAAATTCATTCCAAATAATTCCCATTATTATTGATGACTTCTGCTCATTTTACAGGGAATTTGCGGATTCCTCTTTCGTAGTAGGATTTTGGTTTTGAATCGAAAAACTTTTCGAGCCAATTTTTGACTGCTTCTTCCGAATCGAAGGGTCCTCCCACAAGCTCCCACTCATGGTTCGGAATAAAAAGTAATCAGAAGGGACAAAGTCCGGATTGTATCGGGGATGCGCTAAACTGTTGTTGCTGTTGCTCTCAGTAGCCTATGGTTCGAGTCGGTGATGAAGGAGAGAACAACTCCAACGTCTATCAGAGTCCATTTTCGATTTGTTAGTATATGGTCGATTTCACATTTGTCTCTGCCGTTGGGTGATATCCAAGTCCATCTTCTATCTTGTGGTTTCTCGAATTGAGAGTTTCCATGTGTTAATCTTGATGACCACAGAAGATCTTCCACCTCTAACTTCGTGGAGTTAGAGGTCTACTAAATCGACTGGATAAAGAAATTTTATTGTCTTAAACCTTATTCCACATTTTTTCTTCTCTAATGCTCTCTCGATTTCTCGTGTTTCGTAATCTTTTCTCGGATTTGGTAACAAAGGAGAGTGATAACAACAGAAGCTAATGACGTCACTCCAACACAACAAACCACATAAATCCCTAAATATTATTGGTTTCTCATTGTTTTACCCTATCATTACCAAGTAATGGAAACACCGAAGTCTTCGGGATGGCATCCGAAAGCATTTCCAATAGAACTGTCATTGAGACAAGACTTGTCAGGCCGATTGTTAGCTAAAATAACATACATTATTGCAATCCTATTATATCTTCCGTTGAAAAGCTTAATCTTACCTTAACAAGTTGCTCCTTTTTGATATTTGGTGTCCAGAACATTCCAACAATCGACAATCCGGTTAGAATGAAAAAAGGCAAAGCGATCACATAGACGTAGAAATTGGGCACTCTGCGAATGTTGAGGAGGTAAGCCACCTAAAAATTTCCAAAGTATACAGTTTTTAGTTAAATCAATCATTTCTTCCCTATTGCCATGCTAGGTTTTTCTTCTGAGCTGGCTTTTGAAACGAACCATTTGCACTCCAGCTTGAACCGTGCCAAAAGTCAATACATTAGTCACGTCCCCGTTCACCGTTTCCCTAAAATGGGTTCCTTTTTATTGGTTCATCTACTATTTGAATCCCAAATTGGGATAAAACGAACCCATTCAATAAAAGCTTTTGTGAGTACAGGAAAGTATTCGTTATTGTTTACCGCGCTCGCCACCGTGTACTAAAACTTTGCATTAATATACAGTAAATACTGTAATTGGACCTCATGGGTTCCTTACTATTTTTTCTCTCCCCCTTTAAGGTGGGGTACTATTAGGTTGGCAACTAAATAATGGCCCTCGCCGTTTTTTGATAAAATCTTTTAATCTTTGCGTTTAATCTACCCTCGCTTGTTGTTAATTGAATATTACTGAATTTCTGGTGCATTATTATACGTTTTTTACTTTCCTTGATTTGATACTTTTCAAATAATTTTGTTTAGAAATGGAAGATCTCAAATATCGAATGCGTGTCTGTCTCTGGTACGACTACAAACAAGACAAAACAGCTGCCGAATCCCACAGAGATTTATTGCGAGTTTTTGGTGATGAAGCTCTTTCCGAAACACAATGTAAGAGATGGTATCGACGGTTCAAGGAAGGGGATGAAAGTCTTGAAGATGAGCCTCGCCAAGGACGACCCGAACTTCTGCAGAACGATCACCCCACGAGAAATGGCGATCTGCCATTTCTCGTGGTTTTGAATGTAAGGAGTGTTTCGAAAAGATTTTTTTCAACTGAGCAACCTTTTCCCAATTCTTTTGGTTCAAAAAAAGGCCAACGTTAGCCGAGCATGTGCAAATTCATTGTTAAAACGGGCTCACAACTTGCCGCAAACAACCATTTCGGTGAAATTCGGTAAAAATTTGGGGATGTCTGGTTCTGCTGATTGAGACACTTTTGCATTGTAATTTTAGTCTTAAAGAATTGAATTAAATTAATTTTGATAAAATTTGTACAAAATTGATTGTGCCTCCTGTTTTTCTCGGACGAATTTTTACTTAGGAAACCACGAAAAATGGCAGATCGCCGTGGGGTGCTTGCGGCGAGCTCATTCCGAAGGACAGTAAGGGTTGAAGTGAAACAAGAGGATAAACCAAAAATGACCCTTCGGTAGAGTATTGGATGCCTTCAATAAGAGAGAAAAATAAAACACAAAATACCAATATTGCATTTGTGGATTTTAGTAATCAATAGTTGAAGAGTGGTGTAAACAAACCCTTTTGGGTTCTTTTGGAATAGGTTATTTCTTTGACTTCTGCTGACTCATAACAGAAATTGCTGTGACAGAAATCCTTTGATTTTTCTAAACTCTTCTATAAAAATTTCATTGATCACTTCATCACCTTCCTGTTTCCGATCACCATTTTCACCGAATCAAATAATCGTTTTCGATAGCTATCATAGACAAAGAGAAGAACCACCGTTGATAAAGTCCCATGTGAGCATCCGATGGCTGTTGTCCAGATTGTATAAACTGGAAGAAAAATTGCAATGAAAAGAAACGGCAAAGATTGAAATCGACGAACCGCTTAGTGGAGCGGACTCGGGCCGTCCCCAGGCAACTGCCGCCTCCCAACAAAAAGGCACGAAAACAACGCCGATAAAGATGAGCACCTGCAATGAAAAAAGTAAAAACACTTGCAGTAAACTAATAAAGCTTTTTCTTACCTGAATAGTGAGATTTCGGAGCCATAGCCTCTGAAAGCGCAGTGTCTTTTTGCTCATCAAATGTCGCTGTTGATGAAGGCTGTGATAAGCTGGGAGGATCAGCGCTAAAAAATGTTATCAAAACTAAGAAAAAAACAGGATAATTAGAGCAGAAAAACATTTACAACAGTCGCAACCACGTTTTCTTTTCGCATGAGATTACAGAAGTTTTGAGTAATCGAAAAATAAGCCACCATTTTACTAAGCACCCACCAAGACCTGTCACTCCCATAAGGGCATAATAGAGCTTGGTCAAGCCGTCTATATCGCCATTGATTCCTGCGGAAATAGCGTAAAAGCCGGTATGATTGATGAAGTTGATCATTGCAGGGTTATACTGAAAACAACGCCACTTACGTTAAACGTTAATATTAGGCTGAGTACTCATTTTCGATAACCCCTATTCAGTTCTTGGTTTTAATAAAAATTGGGTTAGTGAATTGAAAACTGCCGGCTATTGTCATATGTGACAGTTTGAGGACTTTCTTCAAAAGAAACCCATTTTGGTGTCAATGAAAAAGTTGTAGAGAATCAAAAATAAAGCGTTTTTCTCACAGGTTTACACCATTTTGTTGAACCTTTGTTTGATCTCGAATCGCTTGTTCAAGATCGTTCTTTTGGAATAAAACAAACAGAATACATTCGCAGATGAGTGGCTGTACAAAGAAGGCGAAAACCAAAAGCTGTTTCACTCTGAAATGTTGCTTCTTCGAACAACAAAAATTTGATCTATTAGGTTGGAAAGGTCAAAGTAAAAATTTTTTCTTTTTTTCTTATCAGTATTCCCCAGCACCAAAAGTATTCGGATAAAAAAGGCTTTTTTTACGCCACTCTTCAACTATTCATTACTAAAAACCCCAAATGGAATATTGGTATTTTCTGTTTTATTTTTATCTTTCTTTGAAGGCATCCGATACTCTACCGAAGGGTCATTTTTGGTTTATCCTCTTGTTTCACTTCAACGAAAATTCCACTGCTACCCGTGCTTATGTGGAGATTAATCATGTTTATGGGCAAGGTTCGCTTAGTCTAGCGACCGCTTACAGATGGCTCCATCGTTTCGAGAAAGACGACTCTTTTCTCTAGAGGAAGAGACGAGGGGTGGGAGCGTGAGTGACTTCAATGAAACGGCTCTAACTGAGCTCCTATGGATCGACAACAAATAATCAAACAGGGCACTGGAAGAATAACTAAAGGCCTCTCATACAACAGTGCTAACCCATATCCATCCCATGGGATTTGTTTCGAAATTTGGCGCGTGGCTTCCCCATGTGCTCACAGATGAGATGAGACTCACAGTTTCTGCCGCCCTATTCTCTCAGTACAACAGATATTTCTTTCTTCCAGACGTGATTACTGGTGATGAGAAATGGGTACTTGATATAAACTTTCGGAGACACAAGCAGTGAATCGGTCCCGGCGAGCAACCGCAACCTGAACCCAAGCCAGAATTGGACCAGAAGAAGATTATGTTGTGCATTTGATGGGATCTGAGTTGCTACCTGAAGGCACGACTGTCAGAGCTTCCCTGTACTCAGAACAGCTGGATCAGGTCGGCAAACAAATCACAAGAAATCATGGAGAGGTCCTTCTCTTGCATGACAATGCAAGACCTCATGTGGCAAATTTGACTCAACAAAATTTGAAGGAGCTGGGCTGGGAAGTTCTGCCCTGTAAAGCCCTGAGCTTGCCCCCTCTGATTTTCATCTTTTCCGGAAGCTGGCTGCAGAACTTGATGGGGGCAGTTTGATGATAGCATCGAGGTCGAAAATTGGCTCCGCGACTTCTTTGATGTGCAGCCCAAGAATTTCTGGGAGAAGAGAATTCGAGCTCTATCTAATAAATGGCAGCGAATCATAGATAATAATGGCGATTACCTTGAATAAATGTGTGGTTTGGTTTTTTGAGAAAAATACAGTGCTGAAATTTTCACTTTGACCTTTCCAACCTAATATTTCATTTTTAACGCACCCTTTGCCTTGTTTCAGCAAATGACTTTCCGGGAGAATCGACTGTTGTTTCTGAAAAATTGTGACACCAATCGTCGCGATAAAATAAAGAAAAAACGTCATTGCAAAACCCTGAAAGCATTTTTGCTTTGAACTAGGCGTTTTGACTTTGAGTGCAAGTCTTTCGCTGATTGTTTTGACTTTGATTTGATTGTTTAATCTCGGTTTTTAATCGACGAAACTCACAAACTGTGATATGGTCGAAACTCCAAAAGAGCTGGCGAGTCCAAGGAAATACCCTCCCAAAATGGGTGTGGCTGAGATGGGAAAAGTGAAAAAGATCAAACCGAAGTCAAACACTGCACCGGTCAGCTGAAAGAAAGCACGTTTATACCAAAATGTGAAAGGTTTATGTCACAGAGTTTCCAACAAATGCGAAATTGATACCTGCATGGTTAACAGATAGTATTTATAGCTTCCGAGTCGTTTCGGTGTGCCCACATAGATGATGTAGACGCCAAGTAAGTTGAAGAACAGAGCCGGTACTTCAAATTAAAGCTTAAATCAAGCTTTGATAAGACAAAAGCTACCGCTGAAAATCGATAGCCAGCTTTGAATGATTGGAAAAGAGTCGACGCTCACCAATTCAATCGACATTTGAAAAGTTGACTACTTTGAAACTGAAACTCTAGGAATGAAACTACTTTGAAACTTTGGGGACAGTGCTGTAAATTAATAAATACAGCACATTGAAAAACCAATTCAGTTTTCGGCGTTCTAAGTTGAACGCTCGTGTGGTGGCTGAAAATGAGAATTAGCAGCTGTTTCTTAATAGATTTTGGTTTCTGTTTTGTGATTAATCAAATTGTAATGAGTGATTACAATTGTTCAAAGTTCTGATATATTATGGTGCAAAAATGCAAACTGCATGCCAGAAATGCTAAAAAACCTCAGGGGTTACACATTGGCACTGGGAAATTTAAGGATATTGAGCTAAAATTAGAGTTTAAATGCGAATTTCATGGAATATGCAAATCACAATGAGTGGATCCGCGACATTTATATTTTTTCACTTTGTTTAAACTTTTGTGCGTTTCTTTTTTATGGCGCTGGTCAAAAAGGACCATGTTTATTCGCATCGAATCGCTTTTCTTTTCACTTTATTCTGAATTCCTAAGTCCAGTATTCTCTACAAAGCCGAGCATAAAAGAAATGTGTCCGGACAGCTTCTCGAAAAACAATATAAAATATATACCAATGTATAAAGTACCATATTTAACATAATTTAGTCATCTAGAACTCATATAAAGTTGTCTCATTCTCGATCCGCTTTTGCAGCGAAAAGTGTTCTAGAACCCATCTCTTTAGGGAAAAGGCATCGTTGACTGTACATGACCGAATGCCCATCAATGCTTAAATTTTAAAATTTCCATCTGATAATTATCATTTTCATTCACAGTTGCACTTCACACTTCACGCTCCTTGTGTTCACACACATTTCACACACACGTTGAATTTCCATTTTATGAATCCGAATCGTTGCTTGGATTTCGGTCTTGCGGATCCCATTTGCTCATGGAATTTCCATCTTCTGAATCCGATTCGATCGTGGAATTTACATTTTGCGAATTCGGTTCAGTTGTGATGTCATATGAATCAGGATTGATCTATAGTTAGAAAGCCGCTTATGTTTTATTATTTTTTTTTGCGTTTAGGCGATCTTTTCCGATGAGAAGAAATGGAATTGGGATGGTCCCGATTGCTTTGACTACTATTGGAGGGATCTTCGACGTGATCCGATGGTGTTTGGAACTCGAAACTTTGGCGGTGGTCCTGTGATGGTTTGGGCCTCTCATACAACAGTGATAACCCATGTCCATCCAATGGGATTTGTTTGTGCTGATGGAACGGTCGCTCTGAAGATAGTTTCGAATGGGATGACTAGATAGATATCTTGAACAATTGCTTGTCGCCGTTTTCGCACCTAAAGCAAACCGTTCCCGATTTGTTTCAATACAACAACGCGTCAGTTCATCGAGCCGGAGATGCCCGAGACTGGCTGAAAAACAACAACATTGCAACTTTGGACTGGCACGCTCAGTCTCCTGACCTCAATCCAATAGAAAATTTATGGGGAATACTTGTCCGAGATGTCTACAAGAATCATCGCCGGTTTCAAGACGTTTCTACACTTAAAGCAGCAATTTTTTCGGCCTGGAGCGATCTCGACGTCTCTGCTCTTCAAAACCTCATCAATTCAATGCCAGGCCGCATTTTTCAAGTAATTAATCGTTCTGGTGCGTGTACAGATTATTAGTTTTGATTTTTTACCTTTGATTGTTAATTTGTGTCGATAAATAAAAATATTTTCATAGTGCGTTTAAGAATTTGAAACGGCTGATTTACCAAAAAGTTTTTATTTTGAAAATTTTTACTTTTTACAGTATGCTTCTTTTTCGTGTTTTTTAGGTTTTAAGACATGCTCTTTCTAATAGAAAAAGATTAATAGTTGTAGCGGTGCTCAAAGTGCAAAATTCGCTATTTTAGAGGGTGCGTTTAAGAATTTGAAACGCACTGTATAAAGAGAGCATAAAATCTACTTTTCTTCAAAGTGGCCACCTTTGGCTCCGATGCAGAGCCTCAAACGCTTGATCAAGTTTTCGGTGCTGGGCCGCGGCTCAACCATCCCATTCCCTAGTCAACGATCGCAACGATCGCGATAAGAGTTAAACAAAGTGATAGAAATTTGAATGGAAGAAACGAATTTGAAACGAATTTGAAACTTTAAAACGTGATTCGGCTACCATATCCTGCTACCCAGCTGGATCCGATATCGTAATTCGTGGCTTGGCTACCGTAGCTCATTGTTGTAACCCCTAAGGTTTGGGTTTCGTATCCGGACATTACCGTAACACGGAACTTTTGATGTACAGTAGCCCGGCCGTGCTACCATGACCCTACAACCCATCACCCAATAGATGCGCTTCATTAACTTCATCAATTGTACAGTAACCTCCATATGCGACATAAGTTAAAGCAATAAGTTTATTATCTTCAAAATTTAATGTCAATTTTTCCTCAAAACAATCCCGTCGGCACAGTGACCGTTCCAGCCTTCAATCCACTCGATCTCACGATTTCCTTCGGTTTTCGAAAACATAGTACACTTATTATACTAAAATTTTTAAATTATACTTGAAATTTTTGTCCCTACCTGGCAAACAGATTGAACAATAAAGCTTGATTGAAATCGATCGAATTGTAGAAGATGGTCATCAAGTTATCACCGAAAAAGAGGTTCAAAAAGATGGCAACTAGATAGAAAATGATTGTATTTGTGAGGTTGAGAATGGAATTTGTGAGCATCTAAAAAAGTTTTGTGAAAGAAAATTGAAAGACTGATACCTGGATCATTAGCAAATTCTCGACTCGTGACGTTTTCCCGTGCTGATTGAGCTGAAACTAGTCTATGGGTAACTGGATATTTAGTTGGCTTGATAGGTTTAAAGCTACAGTACTACAGAGTTGGACTTCAGTGTTCAGTAGGCATAAGCAAATTCCGTCTCGAACTTAATTCCACCTTCGTTTTCTTGGTTGCTCCTTGATCGATTGATCTGAAATTTTGTCGACAAGCAGTTAATGCCGAGCTCTACTTGTAGGCAAGATTTCAGATCAATCGGCCAAAGAACGGCCAAGAAAACGAAGGTGGAATTAGGGCCGGGACGGAATCTGGGCTTTAAGGGAGAGGGCTTTAATGGCCTTGCTACAGTACTGATTCTTTACGGTAATGATAGTCGACTAGGGGGCACGGTAGTTGGAAAGACCAAATTTGCCAATTTCACTCAAATTCGAAAGAGGAACGATACGGCTAGAGAACTGCTATGTGGAAATCGTTTCGGAGGAAGGTGAGAGCAATCTTGAAGAAAAAGCATGTGCTCATCTGACGATGAATACAGTAATTCGAATTTTCGAATCGAATTTCGATCGAAAAAGTCAGAACAAAAACCAGATCTAGTACCCGTACTAGTATTATTTAGTATCTAGATCTAGATCTAGTGCCAGTATTAGTCAAAGCACAGGTTCTATCTGTTCTTAGTCCAACGTCTAACGTCAAAAATATCAAAATCTACAGCCAATTGAATGTAAATCGAAACTGAACCAAGGACTATAAAAAAATCACTACTTTACATGTTTTTTTGAGGTTTGAACTGCAAGATTACCCTCGCGGGAGTTGAATTTTCAAAGGGAAAAAAAGTTAAAAGTTTTGGAAAGAATACAGAGTTTAACCCAAAAACTTGTTTTTTTTCAGAAATTCTGAAAAGTCATTTGTTGTTTATGAAATTCCCAAAAGAATTTACCCTTTTCATTTTGCGATTCGTCACAAAGTCGAGGCCACACATCAAAAAGTATGGAAGCCTCATGAAATCCTCCATCGGGTTGACGCCAAGAAATTGCTGTGAAAGGTACTGGAGATGGGTGAGCCCGATGTGCAAAATGTATGGGAAAAGGAGTTGAGCAATCGGCCATTGGAGAGTGTATCGGAAATAGAGACCATTGAAGGCTAGGGCGGTGAAGCGGCTGAAAAGAGGTCCTGTAACTGAACTGATGAAACTGTAAGTGAAAGTACTGTACTGTACTGTAGGGGTACTGTAAAAAAGAACTGTTATAAAGAAGGCTTAGCTTTAGGATGTAATTTGAGAAATTTGAGAAATTTGCGAAAAAACACACCTTAGCTGGGGTACTGATCGCATTTTGGTGAGTCATTCGGCATTTGGTAGCTTAAAGCTAGAGAAAAGGGTCTTGTCTGAACCTCTGGATTGTGCACAGTTTAGCTACAGTATGCCTACAGTAACAGTATCTATTGGGTTGGTGCATTGAAAACTGCGGGCTATTTCGCGGGACTCGCAGATAAAGAAAACAACAGCATTGAACCAGCTGAGACGGGGGTTTGTTTACTTCAACATTTCCTCTAATTATTGCGAAAGAATTATGCTTCCAGCTTTTTAATTTTTGGTATTTTTCTTCACTTCTTCTATTGCACTCGACAATCTGCCACTGGGACATATTCGTCATGTTCCGGAACATATTCTTCATGAGTTCCTACAAAAGCACAATGCAGGCTTGGCAGCTGCTAATATTAAAAAGATATATGGGGAGGACTCACCTTCCGAAAGAACGTGTCAAGTATGGTTTGCCAAGTTTCGTTCTGGGGACAAATTTTTGAAAGATGCAGATGGTCGTGGAGCGGCACCCCAACTGGACGACTCCAAATTACTCGAACTTATTACCAACGACCATCGAATGTCATCGCGTGAATTGAGAGAAGAGTTAGGGGTTGATCATGCTACAGTGCTAAGGCACCTTCATACCCTTGGATTTAAATCGAAACTTGGGGCTTGGGTACCCCATGACCTCAGACACCCCCAGAAGTGGCAGCGTGCCTCGATCAGTGCCGCCTATCTCTCACGATACGAAAGGAAACGTTTTCTTCCTTGCATTGTGACAGGTGATGAGAAATGGGTTTTATCTGTGAACTTTCGGAGGAAGCGGCGATGGGTAGGGCCAGACGAGAAACACGAAAGTGACCCCAAGCTCGATTTGCACCAGAAGTTTATGCTCTGCGTTTTCTGGGATATAGAGGGAGTGATGTACTGGGAGTTGCTGGATAGCAAGACGACCCTTAATGCAATCAAATACAGTGAACAGTTGGAAAAGGTGAATGAATCCCTGGAGAAGAATAGGCCGTCCAAGTCCAAGATCAAAGATCCTCCACGCCCTCATATTGCCAAACTAACTCGCTCTAAAATGAACAGCCTTGGTTGGGAACTTTTGGCACATCCCCATACAGTCCGAAACTCGCCCCTTTTGATTACTATTTATTCCGGACCATGAGTAATGAGCTTGCGGGAGAACTCTTCGATTCGGAAGAAGAAGGCAAAGATTGGCTCCAAAGTTTTTCGATTCAAAACCAAAATCCTACTACGAAAGAGGAATCCGCAAATTGCCTGTAAAATGGGCAGAAGTCGTCAATAATAATGGAAATTATTTGGAATGAATTGATGGTTTTATGTTGAATAAATTTTAGTTCAAAGTCCGGCAGTTTTCAATGCACCAACCCAATAGCAGTTACCTATAGTATCCCGTCTCATTACAAGCCGCTCGTATTGCTTATTAGAGTGCGTTCCTCTCAAGAAATAGTGGAAAATAGAGAACGAGTGGATTTAAAATAAACTGAATATCTGAAAAATTGTAGAAGATATTCAAGAAATTCCGTTGATTTCGTCCTAACCAGTTTCCTATTTCACACTATTTCTTGAGAGGAACACACTCGATTGCTTATGCTAAGAGTTTTTACAGGGGTTTACAGGCATAGCTAGTGTTGCGCTCTACAAAAGTATGATTTTCTCAAAAACCAAACGAGTTGACAGTTTTTTTGTTTAGATATTTCAAATCTACGGACATTTTTTCACTAAATTCATAATTTTGTGTAAAAATTTAAAACTTCATTCGTTTTATATAAGACTTAAACTTTGCTCTCGAAAAAATGAAATTTCTGAAAAATCTATCCATTTTTGTTAGTCCATTTTTGTTAAGGGGGCTTGCAACAGCTTCTTAAGGAGTTCGAAATTTAGATATCTCTGCGTTCTTCAAAAACTAAAAACGGATTCGAGATCCCCATGGCCGACTGAGATGGACTTGGCCTCGAGTCAAAAGCCCAACTTGACTCGGTGCCTTTCCCTTGTAAAAGCTAGTTCACACGCTAGTCTAAAATGGACTGATCTGATTCAGTTTGCCTCACTCCATACTGTACTCTACACATACTCTATACTCAAAACTCTATCCTTGTTAGCGAACAAGGATAGAGTTTGACCTAAGCCTGGTGAAGAAAACTATCATTTGTAGGAAATTATGATTGTTTCTAGTTAGATCGGGTTCTTGTTAACAGACACAACTCCCTCACCAATCAATCCAAACATAATGCAAAAATAATGAAATTAAAAATAATGAAATAATGAAAATAATGAAATTTTCGCCATATTCTTGACTCTTTGTATGAGATGAGCATTCAAAAAAAGGAAATAGTCGAAAAGATGAACTTGGCTTGAAGTGAAGTGGTGAAAAATGAAAATTTCTCAAGATTTCAGTGAAGCCGGACTCCAGCTGACTCCATAACAAATTCAAATATCGGCTGCGTGCTGAATGAAACTTTGTGTGCTCACTTTTCGTTTCAAGTTCAACAAAACAGGATTCAATTATGGGTAAAGGGATTGAAAAACAAAGTTTTTGCGATAATTTCAAAGCTCAGAAATGAATTTGATCAATTTGCTGAAGTTTTTCGATTTATTTTACACACAAATTTCTTCAATTTCCATCAATTTACTGAAAGTTCTTAAGGAAAACTGCTATAGTGAATAAATACAGAATCATTTAGTATGTTTCTGTATGTGGCAAAAGGCAATAATTTTAAAAAAATAACTCAAAGTTGTTAATGTTGGACGTATTGATAAGTGTTTTTTTTTAGCATTAAACTTGTACAACTTGAGCTCTAAACCTAGTAATCTACTGGTCCCCATAAATATTGAACACCTTGTAGCCTGGTTTTCGGCCCTAGAGTCTGTAAGAGCGGTCAAGCCAATGTAGATTAGATCAGGCTATAAACCAGATCCAGGGCCGACCAGATCATCTTTGTTTGCTTGGTTTTTCGGGCGCTAGCCAGTCAAATATTAAATCTTTGGGCCTAACTATAAGAATTGTGCATTCCGCTGAACTGATTGAATATTTTACTCAGAAACTCAAAATTAGCAATTCTGAAATTTGAAAAAAGCCAGTGCCAAGGCTTCTCAAATTTTTTCCAAAAATGTATTTTGTGAAGATCTGGGCATATTTTGTGACATACATTGACTCGAAATGAACTGTCTCAAAGAGCATCTCTGATAAGAGAAACTAGAAAAGCGGTTTATCTCTGTTCACTCTGAAAAATGAAAACCTCAATCGCGGCCCTGTTGCTCTTGTTCAAAGTTGGGGAGATTGTTGCTGTTTGCCCCGATGGATATTCACTTGAACCAGCTCTTCAGCAGTGTTTTCTCATCACGGGAAAAACGGGTAAATGTTTGCTGTTTATTTATGTGAAATTTGTAGCTTTCCTTCTGAAGAGACAAGCATTTTTGTGGAGCAAATGTTTTTTTGTTCGATCAGCCTCACAAGTTTTTTGAGAAAACTCCAATATAGTGATTCATTTACTCAGGAAAAAGTAAATCAGAGCCTATTGAGGCCAAGTTAAAGCTGCGATATCACGATAAAGCCGAAGAAGTTTGCAAAAATTATATCAAAACTTCTTTCTATAAGCACAGCTAAAGCACTTGTCAAGCCCTCTCAACTTTCAGGTAATTGGTCATCCGCCTCGTCGTTTTGCCAATCAACCGGTGGCAATCTTCCCTCGATTCACAATGCTTTCCAAAACGCCGCTTTAGCCAAATTTTTCAGAAGTTCTCATTTTTTATCATCGATTTAGTTGTCCATTGTTTAGCCGCTTTAAATCTCGGTAACAAGTTTTGGTTGGGTTTCTACAGTTGTTGCTTTGGACCAGTCTGGTTTTGGACTGATGGAACGCCCGATGATTACTACAATTTCGCATCAGAACGTGCGTTTTTTTGTTAATATTGTGTTGAGTGGAGCAAGGAAATGATCCAAACTGGGCTGACGTTTCAGGATAAGCTCGGAATGCAAACAGTCGGATATGGGGACAAATATCTATTCAGTTTTTGCAAAAATTAAAATCCTGGCGAGAAAAATGCATTAAAGTTTGAAGTTTCGACCAAATTTTGAAGCTTTAAAGTTTTTGAAGTTTTCGAAAAATCGCCAATAAGAGTGTGCCACAAGCGAGGGAAGATAGAGCAGGGTGGTGGACAATGTTGGCGGCTGTGCGGCTTAGAGGATAGTGTGCTAGACTATAGAAGCAATGGAAATTGCAGTGGGTTCGAGTCCCGCCGTCAAGATCTTTTGAAAAACAGACGTACCATTTTTAAGTGCTTATTGAAAAGTTTCAAAAGTCATTTACAAGAGAAATGATTGAGTTATCCAATGGAAAAAACTGTATTTCATTTGATAGCTTTAGACTTATTCAATTAGAAAATGAATTTGAGTGGAAGACTTAGTACTCGACCGAATCGTAAGCAAACCAAATGCCACTGTTGTGAGGAGAATTTTTTAAACCTTCAGACAGCGAGGCAAGAGGATGGCATCCATACTTGGATTTGGACACCCAAAAGTGGCCAACAGCCGAGGGGGCTACAGAATTGGCGTTCATTTGTGCGGCACCCGATTCAGCTTCCACTCGTTCAACGGACCTCCATCAACTCAGTCGCAGGTTTTGTGTTTTTAGAGAAGTTTCGCGTTTAACCGTTCACCCATCACTCTTTTTGTATTAAACAGATTCTGTTATCTTCAAAACAAGAAACGAAGAAACGGACCTTTTCTAAGCCTTTGACTTCAGCCTATCAAGAACCACACTTATTTTTCAGAACGAAACACACTCAATGAGCGGAGTGAATCCGGAAAAAAGAGCGAAATTTGAATGATTCTGTGCATTTACTCTTACTGTATAAAATTACTATTGTGCTATCGCTTGAGTGCTTAGTGAAGTTTTTATTTTTATTTTTAAAGTACTTGCTGTACTCGACTCCTTGATTTTTCGAGCGATAGTTGAGAATGACACCGTCCGGAGTCTTTTACGGACAGGTATCCTGAAAAAAATAGTTATCAGACATTTGGTACAGGCCCCGCCCCTTTTGCCATTGGCAATCTAACTTTGAGCTCAAATATCTTGGTGTTGAGTTGTCCAATTTATAAATTATTAATATCCTTGGAGGCGCCAAGTCTTTCTCTGTCGATTGGTACAGAAACTTTTAGATTGGACAACCCAACACCAAGATATTTGAGCTCAAAGTTGGATTGGCAATGACAAAGAGGGCGGGGCGCATATCAAATGTCCAACAATCGAAAAAAATTTCCATTTAAAATTAACGCGACCACACTCACTCAAGTCAATAATATTCTATAAGAAATTTCTGAGCAAAAAAACTATTTGTTAATTGTAAAGAGATTGATTGGAGGCCGTTCTAAACTTTATTCAATCATTGTGTTTGGGAAAAAATCCAGTCTGCTTTTGGGAGATATTCTCAAGCGCAACCAAACGTATTTAGCTCTATTCGAAAGTTAAACTCAAGGGGATTTAAGAGAAAAAAACAGTTTTTAGATCCATCCCATTTTAAAGTTTTGATAAGGTTTTTGAAGAAAGATTCTACTCACTTCCAAAAAAACGGACTGGACTTTCCTACCATTTCAAAATTTATTGTTTTTTTTGGGCGGCTTAATAAGAAAGAACGAGCGAAAAATTGATTTGAGTCTTTGCTTTGATCTTTTTTTTACGAAATTTTAAAAAGAGAAGAGAATAAGAGAAAAAAAGTGATAAGAGCCGCTGCTTTCGACTTGTTCTCACAAATTCAATAATTTCCAAAAGTCTCTTTCTATTCTCTCACATTGTTGCTTCAATGGAGGCATATTCCTCTGTTAAAATTGGTTATGGCGCTTTTGGAAGAGTGTTTTTGTTGACAAATGGCAATGCGTGAGTCCTTAGAAACGGTGCCGACTTTTTAGTCTTCAGAAAGCTGGTGATGAAAGAAATTGATCACGGTTTCCCTGTAAACGAATTGGAAATTCTGAAAGAATTGGTGCATCCGAATATCGTCAAATATCGCGATCAACCCACCGATTACGTGTATCAAGGCGGTCATTTTCCAATATTTATGGAGTTTTGCGAAGAGGGATCACTGCGAAAAGGTTGTCTCTTTTTGTGCAATCAAATAGAAAGCTAAACGTTTGGGTGTCAAATTTTCCCCGCTTCTTGAGGTTTTCAAAAATTTCTGCTGATTTCAATCGACAAAAAAGCTGATCGAATTTTTCTTTTGTCAAATTAACAAGGGAAGTGGTAGAGTACTTGCGTACAAGTCAAATGCTCGTTGGTTCGTATCCTCTTACTTTCTTTTTTTGGTTTTTTTTTGGAGAACCTATTTTAAATCAATCTATGCAATCTCCGTCCTCAAATTCCTCAAAAAAATCAAACAGTTTTTACCAAAAAAAAACAAACGTGACAATAATCGATAAAACGAATGAAGCATAATTTGATGTCGCACTTAGCACAAACACATAAAAGTGTGTGATTCACAATTCATTCACAAATTTTGCTGTCAACTTGGAAGTACACATCAGCTGGTGTTTGGAAATGAACAAAACAATGTACTGAATCCACGCGTACTGAAGAAGTGATTTAAAAGAAGGAGCTTCCATTTGTGCATGAACAACTGATATGATGTTAATCAATCCTGGAATGAATGGAGAAATCAATCTCGTAAATCAAAACGCAAGTAAAAATCCGTTTGATCAACTGCTTAACAGGGCTAAAGTAATAAACATCCATCGGCTGGAGGAATGTTTTCTACTGTGATCGTATGTACTGGAGGAATAGCTTGACAAATGGAGTCAAGGTCTTTCAACGAGATCCAGGAGTCGAGAATCAAAGAATCTGTTAGATGTTCCACCGTCACAAGCAATTTCGCGAATTTATTTTGCAACATGTTTCTTCAGCATGAGAGGTGACTTTCCACAACAAGATTTTGTGTTGCAAAGTGAAGTTTCCATCTGAATCACGATTAAAGCTTTTTCTCAGAAGCATTCCATCTCATACCGTTGGCATTTGGGTTATCGAATGAGTGAGAGAATTCTTGCTTTGGACAAGGCGCTTCACCTTTTTGGTACCTCGAAACGCTAACAATCTAGTTCCCTGCAACTCTCGGCTGATTCCCGTTTGATCGAATTTGCTGGACTTAAGCGCTTTATATTGTCGTGAATTCGTTGAACAAAAGTATCGGCATCGACCTGTAGTTTTCCTTGATCGCGAAGACTTCGTTTGGACACAAACTTTACAATCCTTCTGGAACAGACACCTATGCTTTCCCTAGCTTTCGATTCAACCATGACTCGCTTGAAAATCTTTGAGTGGATTGTTGAGAGACCGGTTAATTCCAATAGCCATTTGCCTTATTTCAACATTGCGAAGCAAAATTCGATCTGTATTTTCTTCTGTTACTTCTTTCTCTAGAATACCCTTAATTTTCATCAATTGCGCAATTCGGGTCGCTTTTATTATTTGAGATTTTTCAAGGCTTTGAGCTTCAAAGCGCTCAAAGCCTTCTCGTAGACGATGAAGATGATATGGAGTCCTCAACCTGCGAAATCTAGCCGTCATACTCGATAAAGTTCTGACTCCTTTGTGACTAGATCGGTAGTGAACTAAAGCTGCTTTCATTTCTTTCTCTGGTACATAGATGTCATCAAATCTCATAGAATTATCTTCCGGTGATATCATTCTAGGTTCCACATCATCGGCATTTCATTTTGTTTTTTTTTTATTCGCTTCGTTCTCCTCTTCAATTTCTTCATCACTTTCGCTTATCACTGCATCATAAACGGCTTTTTGAAGAATTCGATGGAACGAGCTGACAAATTTTTACTCTTTTCGATTGAGTGGTCTCTATGAACAGAAACTTTCAAACCTCTCGCTCAAACTTCATTCCTGAAAGTGAAAAAATTAATAGTGATTTAGGGACTAAAGAACATTTAATGTATAAGACTTATAATTGAAGGCAGTTTTGTTGAAATGTTTAACATTGACGGGATATCATTTATTCTTTGCCAGATAACGCGCGATTACGTGTGCACGCAGAGAATACACTGAAATAGGTTTTTCAAAAAACAAAAGAAAGTGAAAGTAAGAGGATTCGAATTTGAGAGCAATAGACTTGTACGCGAACACTCTACCAGTTCCTCCTTACCTTACGAAAGCCTTTAAGAATACAGGGTGTGCAAGAATTATGGCTTCACCTTTTCAGCAGATTGCAAACGCCTCAATCAATTCAAAAATCCTAAGTGTTATATAGAGAATTGAAGCCTGAATTCTTGTCTACATTTCTGCACAAAAAGATCTTTGATTGGGGTTTTGCAACCCATTTTTCAGACCCTCAAATGAGCCCAATTCGATCAGTCTCCGGCGCGCTTCCATTTTTCTCTGTTTTCGAACTTAAAAGTTTTTCTATGAAGAATTTCCCTGTTTTATGAAAAGATAGCATTTTGAATGGTATGAAAAACGATGATAGCACCAAAGTGTTTTGACAATGTTAATCTAATCAGAACTTGAGTTAAAGATAGCCCTCTTTGGATGTTCGGCTATTTTGGAGAAATTTGGATTTTGGGGGTGTTCAAGTCTCGGTTTTTATGTTCGTACATGCTGTTCTAAAGCTGTAAATCTGTTGGAAATAACTTTTAAATGAATAAAAATGTGGTTTTACTAAAGGAAAATTCTTCCTACTTACAAGTTTTTAGTTAGAAAACAACCTAAAAATGGAAGCGTGCCGGAGACTCGGATTGAGGTCGGATTGGGCTCATTTGAGGGTCTGAAAAATGGGTTGCAAAACCCCAATCAAAGATCTTTTTGTGCAGAAATGTAGGCAAGAATTTAGACTTCAATTCTCTATATAGCACTTAGGGCTTTTGCATTGATTGAGGCGTTTGCAATCTGCTGAAAAGGTGAAGCCATAATTCTTGCATAACCTGTGTACCAAAACGTTTTTGCCAGATTCCTCGTGTATTCACGCCATTTTGCAACAACTTACAGTATCAGAATCAGCGAGAAATTTCTATGTCTAGGTCTCATTTTCCATCTCCACATCGCCGTCGTGATCTTCTCTTATAAAACATAGGTTTAGTAATCAATGATCCGAACCTCTACTACACAGTGGCTACCGTTCTCCAATGGGCAAAAGAAATGTTCACGGCCTTGGTTTATTTAGAAGATCGGAAGGTCATTCATCAAGATATAAAACCGGAAAAGTTCAGTTTCGATTTGGAATTGATTTTATTGATTTTAAGTATTTTTGTCAACAAAGAGTTCGCATTGAAAATTGGTGATTTCGGCATAATGCGACGACTCGATTTAAAAGATGATGGTGTTGATGGCGGAACTTGGCCATACAAGCCACCGGAAAAATGTCAAGCTGACTACGAGGTACACTTTTAGAATAAAGTCTATACTTTCCTTTTATTTCTTTTAGCTTTCCCATCAAATCGATGTCTTTGCTGCAGGATTGGTACTCTGGGAGGTGATCGAGAGACGGTTTAGTTGACAAACAATGAGCAAAAAGAAAAAAAACATTCCAGAAATTTGACGGCGCCCTTAGTCCCGATTAGTTTCACGAAAAATTCCCTTGAACTTGCAGAATTGCACGATTTGGTCAAAAGGTAAATTTGAGAAATCAACCCCTACATTACAATTTAGCTGTTCCGATCGATCAACGCCCTGGTATGAGCGCTTCGATTCGGGCTCGCAGGCTCTCGAAGTGGTGGAATCACTAGAAAAAGAAGAGGTAAAACCATTTTTGACTTTTTCACTCGCCCGCGGGTAGTCGAGGTCGCTGAACACGAATTTGGCATTTTAAAAGAAGGTTTTCAATCAACAAACCCAACTTTAGAAAAGTTGAAAACTAAGCTAAAAAGCTTTTGCGCTTTAAATGCAAATTTAATTGCGATAGACCTACCTGTCTTTGTTTTGGCAGGTTCAAGCTTTGTGAAGGAGCCCGATATCCATCAGCCATTCTTCAAACTGGTCGTCTGAAGGGATGAGCTTTGCACTAAACTCCAGCAGAGTCATGTCCCTCAAGGCGTTGATTCCAACCCTTGCAGCCATTGTAATTTTTGTCGGATTAACGATGTTTTTCTCTTTTTCGCCCTACTTATAAAGCTCTTTTTTATCTTTTTAGCCCTGCTTTTTAGGCTTTCTGGGCGTGGTTTTAAGTTAGCAGGTCTTAACTTGTTGATGAGGGCTAAATTTAAACATTTAAAGTGAAATCACCATCAAATTTACGTGTGAAAGACACAAATTTGCATTTAAAGCGCGCAAAAAACGCTGATTACCCCCGGGGAAGTGAAAAAATCAAAAATATAGGTGGCCTCCAACCCACAAAGTACGAAAGTTTTTATGGAGAAATGTTTTGGCTACAAAACAAAAAAGAGCTTAAGTTTCCATCGAAATATTCACTTTGGAATTCGGGCAAAATTAAAACAAAACTTTCATATGTTTCCGATCAATGTAAATGTACTTGTACTGGACTTTTTACAAAGTTGAACTCATCCTAGAAATTCTCTCGATTGCAAGTAAAGCCAGAAAGAAGGTTTGAGGAGCGAATGCCAAAGGAAATAACGAAAGATGATTTTCATTTTGATGACGATGATCTTCATATTTCAACCATCTCACTTTCCGCTTTACAAGAGACTCCAAGACAAAAGGTTTTTGATCAGAAGATGTTCAAAGTTAATCAAGAAGTTAATCAAGAATTCCCTTGATTTCAGAATGTGAGAAGCTTGATTGCACATCTTGAAGAAGATGAAGAATCGGTAACGATCGACAAAAGCGAAACCGATTTGCTCATCCCACCGCTTTCCTCAACACTTTGGGACTTTCATTATCGAGAACAGTCTCAAGAGAAGATGCCGAAAGAAAAAGTTTGTTAAAAGTTTCATCAATCTGGAACAAATAGTTTCTTTTCAGGAAATCAGCTACGAGATCGCGCCTTCAAATAACCAAACAAGAATGACATCAATAGAATCTTCATTTCACCTCTCAGAGCTTGCTTTTACATCTTTACAAATTTCGAAAGAATCCAGAATTCAAGAGTCCATTATTGGCTTTCAAATGATGAACAAAATCGATCGAGAGACTCACTTTGATCGAATCAGAGTTAAGGCAAATGCCTGTGATTTTGGAGATTTTGATCACATTGAGATCGGCAACTTTCACTCTGATTTTCTTGATGTAAACGAAGTCCGAAGGAAAATAGCTAAACGTTTCTTAAAGGCTATTCGACAAATGACTACTGAACAACAAAAGCTTATCAGAAAAGAAATGGAAGATTTTATTGGTTTTGTTTCATTGATTGAACCCGATGAAACGTTCCGACATGGAAATCCTAAATGGGGTGAAAAATACTTCCGAGAGCATGGAGCTTCAACAAAGAAAGTGAAAAAAGTAGCGAAAATTTTCTTCACACTAATCACTTTTGATTTCTTTTTGCAGTATTATTGCTACAACTTTGCGATGAAGGTTTTGAATTTGTGTAATTGCTTGATTTTGACATGGCAGGAGCTAACGAATTTACTAGAGATTGCCATTGGAAATATCGAACAGTTGCATTACATTTTCACCCAGAGAATGCGATTCCCCGTTTTCTTTGGGAATGGCTCAAGAGACGAGTGGTGTCAAGGGTTTCGTCTCATTTTTCGAAAAGATCTTAGTGAAATTCGACCAGGATCAGGTAGTTCGGAAAGGAAAAGTACCGAGCATGTCATCGATATCGAGGACATTCGAAGAGCTCTCTACGAAAAGAAAGAAGCTGTTCGAAGATTTGCTTTAACAGAAACTCCAAAAACCCCGAACTTTATAGAGCTATTGACGCATTTCTCAAATCCGACTGACTTTGAAGCAGAATTACCCTCTATTGAAGGGAATTTTCATTCTAAAATGAGTGAGGGAATTCGAGAATTTACAAGAAAAACTCTCGAACACAAGGAGAAAACGCCTTTCACTGGATACATCTTCTTTATCAACTCGTTGCCGGGTTGTAAACTGAATTACGAATTATGGAGTATTCAGAGTATTCAGGGTATTTTGGAGAATGAGAAGAATTCGGAGTATCACTATTCGGAGTTTTGTCGTTGTGATCGTGTGAGCGCATTGGAAATGCTCGATGTGCACACACTTTTCGAGAGATCATTCCGTTTGTTGCACTTTTGGGATAATCAGCTCGCACATCTCGACACTCACTTGTACCTAATCAATCAACTCTTACAAGATCTTGACACCAAAAGAGACCCATCGATCGGCTTCTTTTTTGTGCTAGTCGATGAGGAACCAGAAGAAGATGACGACGCGTACCTCCTTTTTCCTTATCGTCAATTTTTCTCTTGCCATGCTGAAAACGAAGAAGAAATTCGAAGATCCGGACTGTTTATGGGTCTCTTGCCACCAAAGGAGAACTCGTTTTTCACGGAAGACTTTCATTTGGAATCAATCTCGGTGTGTTGTCGGGTAACTTGCCGCGGTTTAGTGTACATTGCACTAAATGATCTACGAGAGTTTCTTGAACAAATGGCTAGAAGTATGAGTGGTTGGCATGAAGGTAAAGTTCATTTTCTTGAAATTCATCAAAACTATTATCGTATTTCTTCGAATATGTATGAAACAAAATAACTTCGAAAGAGGAAAAAAAAAGGAGTAAATCTTAGGTTACAAAAAAAAAAATTTTAGGTTACACTACTTGATTCGTAGTCGTTCTCAAGTAAACCCAAATCATCTAGAACACCTTTAAACGCTTCCAAGCTCGAAATCGAATCGTTTGTTCTCATAAACCATTGTTTTTATCCTCATCAGAACTTCATACAAGATTTTTGCTAGTTTCCACTACAATAGCGCAATATCCAGCTTTCAACCATCATTTTCAACTTTTCAAAAGTTTCTCTTTTGAAAAATGAACAGCTTCGAGTTTGAATGCTGATGTGTAGGTCTTTCATTTAACTTTTGCTCCAAGAACTGTTGAATTAACGCAATAAAATATGAAAAGCATCAGAAAAAAACACAGAACCGAATAAAACTACACTTTTGAGCTTACCTTTCTAATTTCGGATCTGGTAATTTTAGCGCAAAATAGAAAATAAGTGATATCTCGAATAAGACTGCTTTTATATTCAAGCCGGGTCTTCTATTCGAAGAAATACGATATTTATCGCAAATTTTAGAATTGTCACAACCCATTGAGGAAGACGAGGAAGAAGAAAGGAATTGGATGAAAAAAAAGATTGCGAATTTTTGGATTAAATTGAAGAAAGAACTCATCCCAATAAAACCCTATCAAATGTCAGTTTTCCAAGAAGATTCTCCTTTTCGACCATTCTTTAAACCTGTGGAAAAAAAGCGCCAAATAAACGAAAGCACCGAGTGCTTGGAGTTGCTTTTTGGAAATGGATGATACCCTTAACTGTTTACTGCTTTTTTTTAGTGACCTCGTAAATGTTCTGCCAGAATTTTGTCTCTTTTTTCTTCTAACGCTAATTTTACCTAGTAATTCTTGATTTTGTGGCAATGAAAAACAAAAGATTCGTGCTATTTGATGAAACAAATTGATGTACTTGACAAGATGAGATCTTTTTGAATTTTTCACCTTCAAGAATATGTGATAATGTTTGGTGTATAATAAAAGAGCGAAAATCGCTCTGCACTGCACAAATCTCGGTACCTTTGCGTGCCTTTCCAAAAAGTCAGCATATCTTTTTTTGTATAACTTTACAAAAAACCAAAGTAGGCACCACTTTACTACTCGTTTTCACTAATGTCGAGCATAAGATTGATGTATTCGATTGATGTCAGCGTGTCCATTACGAATCCCATTTCGCCAAAGTCCCATTTCCCGTTGGGTGAATCCTATCGAGTTGCCAAAGCCGGATTACTTCGGTTCCTCGAGGGCGCAAGATCACTTGTATACGACTTGATCGCTGGTCAAGATGTTGTACTCAGTAGAGCAATGATGAACCAATATAGCAAAAAGTGAAGCGCACACATTTTTAGACATAGTTGCCCTTCAATGTTGAGTGATTAAACTGATAAAAAGACCAAGACCAAGACCAAGACCTCACTGAAAAAACTCCGACTTGGGGGTTTTCGAAAAGCATTTTCGGAGATTGCTAAAAGTTTTATTCCCGCATCATCATATTTAATTTTAAGGTGGATAGTGAACTGATAAGATAGAGACTAAAAAATCGCGCAAAGCGCTTTAGAGCGCTTTTTGTGAATTCGAAAATCTCATAAAATGACGTGCTTGCCGAGCTTGTCGGAAGGGCGAACTTTGAGACGTCCCAAAGCTAAGCCAATTTAGTTTTCAGCAAAAACCAAAAAATCCACCATAGAAAAACTTCCTAATTTTTATTTAAAAAAGAGTTTGTGAGAATCGCTCAAAAAATTGCCGAGATATTTACAAAAAAGCATATTACCATAATTATGCCTCATCCATTATAAGCCAATAAATATTCTATTCTTGCTGGTTTTATCTAATTTTGGATCTAATATCTAGTCCTGCAGAGATTTCGAATTTTTTAGGTGATGGCGTTGAGTCTCTTCACTGCTCCGTTTGTCATTTACTTCTCAGCCGCACAGCTGAAATTCTAACGTCAAAACTCGACAACAACAGCAACAACTGTAACAAAAACGAAAGAAACAATTAATCAACAACATAATTTCTTCAATAATCAATTGACTTTGCCAATCAGGTGACTTTAAAAAGGGATATAATTGTAGAAAAGAAGAAAAAGAACAATATCACTAGCCAAAAGACACTGTTACAGGTTGTTAGCTATGGTTGAGAACGTGACCAAGCTTATCTTCGCTATCAGCTCTGTTCTGCTAAACTATTGCTATGTAGCCTGCTAATCTCCCGGAACCATTTCAATGTTCCTATGATTTGGGAAATATCTTCTTCTCCCCCGCATACTATCCTACAATTTCATCGAGTTCGGTCAATACTGTCAATTGGTTATCTCGGTTTCCCGTTTCTTTGCCGTCTCTTTCGATAGAGTCTACTTCCGACACACTACAAAGTGGCCATTTGGTCAATGATTGCTTCCATTCGTTTTAAGAATTTTATTGAACAGAATCAGAATAATGTTTATATAAATCAACCGATTTTTGACTTTTATATCTACACATTTCCTGGGTTTCTCCAGTGTGCCTTAGACTTTGAGACAAGATAGAAAATGAGAAAGGTACAGTACTACTAAAAGGCCGGAACTGTAAGTATATAGCGGTACTATCACACTTACAATACCAGTTCTGTAGTCTAATAAAAAGTTGACTAACGATTTGTTCTTTTCAGATGAAAAACGATGATGCCCCTTCGATTTAATTGCCCAGTTCTTTTTCAAAAACGTTGTTTACACTAATCGTTCTTTATAAAACCAAAAAAAGATAGAAAAAAGATTTTCTAAGAGAAAATTGTTTACAAAAACATATTAGAAAAGAACAAATTCTTAAAAAAATCGAAATCAAGTTCAAATTCATTTTTTCTCAACTCATGCAAACACTTTTTGAAATAGAGTTCAAAAGTGGCCACTTCAGGGCCCCATTATGCAAAATTGCGAGAGATATCAAATGACATTGAGCCAATTTCCTCTAGCTTTAGTCAGTCAAATTTCTTTTTCCTAAATAATCAATTTCTGTGATGAGTGGCACGAATTATTTGTTGTTTTATCTGATCATCTTTGGACTAATCATTCAAGAGGTGCTTTTTAACAAAAAAAACCCATTGATTTTGGATAAATCAAAAAAACCAAATTGTTTAGCGTGAGTGTCGTCTGGCTCCTTCAAATCTTATCATGCCGAGTGTTAAAGGGAAAATAAATGATCCGAATCAGAGTGCCGATCTCTCATTCGGTGGCATCGTTTTGTTTGTGTTTATCGGAACACTTTTCCAAGCATAAACTCTTTTAACTTTTTGTTGTGTGCAAAATTTTAATAATAGACTTGTCTACTTTAGTTCAAAGAAACTTCTAATACCGTATTGGGCTTCCTACACTGGTTGAAATGACTTCAAACACAGATCAAGGCTAAGATTAAGACCTTGCAGGGAAATTCAGTGAAATGTATTATAAGACGTATTATAAGACGCCTATTCCAAGAAAGCTTGGTATTATAAGACGTTTATTCGAAGAAATACAGCATTTGGGAATAAATCCACTCTTTCACTTAAGATTTGAATTAGTTCAGGCTGTTGTTGTCGAGTTTTGATCGATCGGGGAGATTCTTTTACTTTGCTCAAAAAACGTTTTGACTAACTTTTTCTCTTTTGAACTGCACCTTCTTTAAACAATGATCGATAATAATGGAAATTATGTTGTTGATTAATTGTTTCTTTCGTTTTTGTTACAGTTGTTGCTGTTGTTGTCGAGTTTTGACGTTAGAATTTCAGCTGTGCGGCTTAGCGACTCGTTAATCCGAGGGTCGCGGGTTCGACTCCCAACCAAATTTTCAACTTTTTTTCTGCAAAACGATCAAAGTTTACGCTACCTAGGGTAATTTTACCCGCTCATCACGAAAAACATGTTTTTAGCCTAGGTTTTTAACCAAAAAATTGACGAAATGTGATCCTGAGACTTTTTTGGGTCTGACTGAGCTCATTTAAATGCTTATAAAAATTTGAAAACGGAACGAATCAACAAATGGTCTTTGTTCCTATTGAATACTGTGTTCCTACTAAATACAGCTTTCGAACAGGACTAAACTCGTTAAGATTGATTAAGTTTGAGACCGTCTCCCAGCAAATCTGCCATTACTTATTAGCCAGCTTAATAAATGCTGAAAGAGGTGCTTAAAGTTGATATGGAGGTGAGTTCTTGGACAGTATACATCCTTGTTCCAACATATGCAATTTGTGTTCGTAAGTTTAATTAGCTTTTCGATTAACTGACTCAAAAGGGTCGAATCTGGGCGGTCACTTTTTTCAGCTTATGAAGATCTTGGCTTGACTCGAGCGAAATTGTTCTTCTACTCATATGCGGCCATTTTTTGCTTCCCACCCAGCGAACAAGGATTTGAAACTTTCTAATAAATTTTGATTATTTTCTTACACCCGTTGCGTTCTGTTTGGGTTCACACGTTTGTCTTTAAAAATGCGACACAGCCGGAACTCACAATGTTACCGCATATATCAAGTGCCCATATTGTTGCAAGTGTTTTTGCTTTAAATTTAAATTGTTGAAAAATGAAATAACGTTAATTGGAAAAAAAAAGCAGACGGGGTTTTTTTTCTGTTAACAATGCCCATTTAATCATTTTGGTCATCAAGTAGCTTGAGCTATATCATGGATTTAAAAGCTTGATTTACCAAAAAGTCGACCTAATCTTAGATTAACCATTCTAACATAGAGAACTTTCTAGTTTCCTTAGAACCGGATCAGTCTATGATTAACGAAAACCAAACAATCGTGCTTTACAAGGAATTCCTCAAAAACGAAAACACCGGAGACTAAAAGAAGCTTATTATAGCTTATAAAAGACAAATTGATTATTGCGGAGCATTTCCTTTGTCGACCACAAATGGATTGATGGAAGTGATCGAGTAAGCGGAGTGAAAACTGAAATACACTTTTGAAATTTTCAAAATCTTTCACACAATTGTGCCTCACGTTTCCTTCGCCTTGATTTTAATGCAGAAGCTGAAGATCTCGAGGGTTCGGAGACGGAATGCCTAAACCAATCAAATATTTTCTAAGCTAAGATATATTACATATAAACTCTATGTTTTTATTAGTAGTTCTCCTTTTTCTTACCTTCACTAGGAGGACGATGATGCACACGTTGAATGTAGGGAACAGATTGGCGATCACGGGACTGTATGGGCACAGGGAGCTCAGACCTAAAAATGTAAGCATTTTATTTAAAAGATGGAAAAGACCCAGGCCTAATAAGTTGAAATGGACCAATTCTTGGCTATTTATATCAGTTCTTTGTCAAACTAACCAAGAAATCCTCCCCATATCACCATTGTACATGGGATTATCTCCGTGATACACGTGACGCACAACTGGAAACTCATTTTATAAAAGGTAAGATGATTGATTTGATTCTTCTAATCATAGTTTGCGCTAGTGAAAGTTGTACCAAATATTGGTACCAAAATTTGTATAAGTTGAGAAAAAAAGAACCCTTTTGTAGATTGCCTTTCGAATTGTAAACATTTTTCGCATTGTTGACTGAATATCTTGTATTCGTATTTTTCCTATTAGCTTGGTAAATATGAAAGGTTATTTTTTTGATCATTTTTAACACGACAGAAAAATTTATTTAAACACTTTCAAAATCAAATGTATTCACCACAAGCAGCATTAATAACTTCTTTCCAACGTCGCCCCAAATCACGAATGCTGTCCTCGTAAAATTGAAGATTTTTAGAGGCAAAATAGTTGGCAACCCAATTTTCAATGTCCTGCTTTTGCTTGAACTGCTTTCCAGAAACCGCTTGTTTCCATAGACTGAAAGAGGTGGTAATCCGATGGGGCTAGGTCAGGGCTGTATGGTGGGTGAGGGAAGAAGTTTCCATCCCGACTTATCGATCTGTTCGTGGGCGATCTTTGAAATGTGCGGCCTAGCATTGTCGTGAAGAAATCTGACCTTTGATGGATCGATCCGCTTTTTCCTCAGTGCTTGATGGACTCGACCCAGTTGTTCTGCATAAAGTCTTCCATCAACAGTCTCGCCTTTATCTAATACTTCAAGATAAACCAATCCCGTAGTATTCCACCACACACAGAGCATAACTTTCTTCCCGTGTATCGGAGGCTTCGGGATTGGATGAGGGGTCTGCTTCGAACTGAGCCACTGTCCATGGAGTTGAATGTTTTCATACGGAAGCCAAGTCTCATCAGATGTCAAAAAATACTTCCAAAAGTCACGATGGTGAGCTTTGCGTAGAAGAAAAGAGCTCAGGGTGACTCGTATGGCTTTGTGAGCATCAGTGAGGTCGTGGGGGAGCCATTTCCCGCTTCGCTATGATTTCCCAAGAACGTATAAATGGTTTTAAATGGTAACATGAGTGCATCCGAACTTTCCTGCTAATTTTCTACACTTTTGCGATGGATCCAAGTCGACCTCGTTCAGTAACAGCTGATCGTCCAAAGTAATCGGTGGCTTCCCATGTGGTGCATCTTCCCATGACTCGTTTCCCGTTTTGAAGCGATCGTACCAAACATAACATTGTTTGTAATTAAGAGCAGCTTCTCCAAAAACAGTACAAATGTTCTGATGGCATTCCGTAGCTTTCTTGTTTAACTTGAATTCAAAGAATATGGCAGCCCTGATTTTAAATTTTTGGTCATCCATCTTTGTCGAGCTGAAACAATGCAAATATTATTCAAAACAAAAAAGTTTTTGCAAAAAAACATAAGCACATTTTGAGATATTATTGAGAAAAATCCTAGATAGTGAATGTTCTTCGTAACGACAGGGCAATGTTTTTTTGTGAAAAATAACCTTTCATATTTACTAAGCTAAGAAGTTTATCGATTGTGATCAGATATCGCTATCAATTAAGGAAAAAGCATCTCCGCTCGGATAAAAGATTGGAGAGAAAACAGTCGTATAGAAGTCATATTTTGAGTTGTTAATATTTGTGAAAACGGTGAAGCATGTACCTGGGCAGTCAAGATGGCCACGAGTTGTGCTTGAGCCTCTCGAGTGGCCTGTGAACAAACGACCGTTTTCACGTGTCCATGGCTAAATACACAAGTTTAGCCTAATTCGGTTTTGGCCATATCTTTTTGAGACCAAAAAACTTACAGTTTCCAAGTGATAAAAACGTTCAATTGGAAAATGATGCCGGACATGAAAGACAGCGCTAGAGCTCCATTTAAATCCAACCATCGAATACCATCAGTATCCTAGACAATAGACATTTGAAAACTCACTAAATCCAATTTTTAGCCTTTTTACCTCTGAATTTCCTCTGAATCTGAATGAACTTCCTTATTTCAGTTTTTTTTTCGTACTTTAGCTAATCAACGTCAGAAAGTTTTCAAAAGCGACCACAATTAGGGGCTTATTAAAAGTTGTAAAGGGTTCTCGACTAGCAATTATCTCTCAGGACTTTATGAACCTAATCATTTTGAAAACAAAGAAAAGAAATGTGAAAGTAACGCGGTTTTTTCTACCCAGAATTGTCCCCCAGTGAAGCCATCGGTTGTGAGATTCACTTGAAACATTTCATAGATCATTCGAGCTCGATCACCGAGTCGTTCCACGGTTGGCTGAAACATTCGAAGATTTATACAATGTTTACCAACAATTCACATACAAAAAAACAGAAAATATCTCTTATAAGGGAATGTTCTAAACGGAAGGTATGAGATTTTAATGGCAAGAAGATGCAAACACCATTCGTGGAATCCAGTACTGGATTTATTTTTTGCCAGGGAGCCCGCATTATCGAGAAAAAACGCGTTTAGAATTCGGGCATCTACTCGGAAGGTGGCTCCTGGAGGCTAAGAGGTCGGTAAACTCGGTAAAATGTGGCCCGATGGCCTAGTGGGTAGTGCGCCCGCAGCGAATTTTGCTCTCGGATTCAAATTCGATAAAGACTACTTACAGGGTCAAGCCAGAAATGAATGTGACTGTTTTGGATGAGCCATACCTCATTCGATAGATCTCATGATGAAAAATTAGCTCTCCAAAGTTAGCTCTACAACGAGAAATGGGGCCGCCAAGGAGCAAAAATGACGTTTTTGACCCTCCATGACAAGGCTGGAACTTTCTACTGAATCAATATTTTTGAATAATCTTTTTTTTGCATATAATAGAACTTGAATGAAACTAAAAAATAAACTTTCATTAATTATAGAAACTTACGATGTTCCTATAAAAAAAATTCATTAAACTTTGGCTAAAATCAATAGCTTTGAAATGTAAAATTTTATAAATATTTTGGGAATTAAATTTTACTATTTTTTAGTTTCATTCAAGTTCTATTAAATACAAAAAGTTTATGCAAAAATATTGATTCAGTAAAAAGTTCCAACCCCATCAAGGAGGGTAAAAAAAATGTCATTTTTACTCCTTGTCCGCCCCTCGTTGTAGAGTTACTTTGGACAGCTAATTTTTTGCTCATCAATATTCATCACGAGATCTATTGAATGAGGTATCACTCATCTCAAACGGTCACATTCAATTCGGATCATTCCCTTTTTAGCCTCCAGGAGTCATTTTCCGAGTAGATGCTCAAATTTTAAACGCGTTTTTCTCGAGAATGCGGTCTCCTTGACAAAAACTAAATCCAGTACTGGATTGCCGAATGGTGTTTGCATCTTCTTGCCATCAAAATCGCATACCTTCCGTTTAGAACATTCCTTTCTTGGCCAACCTCTTGTGTAGCGATGATCATGAAAAGCCAGAGAGCACTGAAGGCAATTGGAGAGAAGATCACAAAGAAGAGACCGAGTTTTGTATCGAAAATGAAGGACATTTTTCTAGAATTATTGATATACATACATATTATAGTTGTTATAGCTACTTTGGGTAGCAGGCTTGCATTTTTGTATAGAACTCATCCTACCTAGTTTTACTAAATTAATGGGGAAATTACTTGAAAAACCTCGGCTTGCGAAGCAGTTTTGATTGTCAAACATAACTATTTAATAATTTCCAGATCTTTAAACTAACCCAGTGATCGTGCAATATCTATAGAGAGTGTGAACGAAAGAGAAAACGAAACCAGCACAAAAAATGAGATTCTGAGCGATGGCCCCGTAACGGCTCCATTCAGCACCGAATGTCACCAAACGAAGGCTGAATATTGTGTAGCCGTGGTTGTCATTCACAAACATCTGCAATGGGAATAGGCTAACAAAGATGAAAGATAACCCAAAAAGTGAGAATGGTCAACTCCTTGCTTTATCATAGTACTGTTTTCTTATGCCCACACTTACTGGGTCAACGGTCATCGTGCCAAGAGCATAGCAGAACGTGTAGATGGTGCTGATCATGAGGAAACCCGAATAGGCGCTCGCCACTCGCCGATTCGTCCAAATCACGTAGAACAGGAAGATGTTCAGGAGAAGGCCCACAGCTGGAATCGCCGTCAAGAGAAGCGTCAAATAATGCATCCCTAGGATGAATTCATTTAAATGAAACTTACAATAAAGCGAAAGTGGAAAAGAATTAAGAGCTATTTTAAGATCTCTGCTTTTCGAATTGAATCTCTAACGATAGTTTCTCTAGAATGGTGGAGCAATATAATACATATAAAGTTTTCTCTATTCTTTAGTTCTAGTACAGGTGAAACTGAAAAGGGATGGTTCCGGGTCTTGGATCAATGTATGCAGTGTGCTCACACTTCTCTATGAAAAGAATGAATTTCTATGAATTTCTATATGAATTTTCCTGCCAAAAGAAGTTTTCCTACCCTACCCCAATCATGCCAAAAATACTTCCTACGGCTTAAGAAATAAAAAAGAGCTTTTTTCGGAAAACCAACTATTCCGTTAAGAGTTAAGTGAGGAAAATTATATGTCAAGTATTGAGAACAGTGATCCTTGACCATAAAATTAAGATTCTAGAACATTTGATACGCGCCTCGTGAATGAATGAAAGAAGAATAGGCCGTCCAAGTCAAAGATCGTTCTCATCCACGATACCGCGCGCCCTCATGTTGCAAAACTGACTCGCTCTAAAATTAACAGCCTTGGTTGGGAACTTTTGGCGCATCCCGCATACAGTCCGGACCTTGCCCCTTCTGATTCCTATTTCTTCCGGACCATGAGTAATGAGCTTGCGGGAGAACACTTCAATTCGGAAGAAGCAGTCAAAAATTGGCTCCAAAAGTTTTTCGATTCAAAACCAAAATCTTACTACGAAAGAGGAATCCGCAAATTGCCTGTAAAATGGGCAGAAGTCGTCAATAATAATGGAAATTATTTGGAATGAATTGATGGTTTTATGTTGAATAAATTTTAGTTCAAAGTCCGGCAGTTTTCCATTCACCAACCCAATACATATAAAGCTTTCTCTATTCTTTAGTTCTAGTACAGGTGAAACTGAAAAGGGATGGTTCCGGGTCTTGGATCAATGTACTCACTTTTCTATGAAAAGAATTGATTTCTATGAATTTCTATATGAATTTTCCTGCCAAAAGAAGTTTTCCTACCCTACCCCAATCATGCCAAAAATACTTCCTACGGCTTAAGAAATAAAAAAAGAGCTTTTTCGGAAAACCAACTATACCGTTAAGAGTTAAGTGAGGAAAATTATATGTCAAGTATTGAGAACAGTGATCCTTGACCATAAAATTAAGATTCAAGAACATTTGATACGCGCCCCGCCTCTTTTCCCATTGACAATCCAACTTTAAACTCAATATCTTGGTGTTGGGCTGTCCAATTGAAATAGTTTTTATAACAATCGACAAAGAAAGACTTGGCGTATCCAATGATACCAAGAATATTTAGATTGAACAGTCCGACACCAAGATATTTGAGCTCAAAGTTAGATTGCCAATGGTAAAAGGGGCGGGGCGTGGATCGGGGCCGATAACCTAAAATTGAAGCTAATTCAATAAATATAAACAAATTATTTCTTTATTGATTCATCTATTGATACGTCACTAGTAAAACGACTTTTGATAAGTACACTGCTATATTCTTCGCATAAACTTTGTTATTACTACATATTAGCTTCAAATAACATTAGCAAGTCTAGTTCAATAAATTTTCCGGTTACCACAAGAGCAGTTTGAAGCTCAATCTTGAGTCATTTGTTCAAAAATCAAGAAACACTCTAGTCAGAGATTACTTTACGGTCAAAGCAAAAACAAGAAAGTTTTCTCTGAAAAGAAAATAATTAAACAGGATAAGGAAGCGAGTACATCGACCTTTTTCTAGGAAAAACTTCCCGATCCAACAAGGAACGAAAAACAAGCTTGCCCCTAGGGAAAAAAGTATCTTTGAAAATCGTTGCCGAAAATAATTCAGGAAACTCAATCTAACTTTTTATCAAGTTCTTTATTATAATCAAAAAGTTATGGTATCCAAGGCCAAATATTCAAGAATCAGAGATTCCGTAAATCCTTGATTTTTCGACCCCAAAAAAATCGGCCAGTCAAAAAAATTGGTAAGGGAGGACCACATGGTTCAAAAAATATTTTTTTGCTAAAAACCATTTTAAATAATACCGCTTGCCCCAGAACATCCGAAAAACACATTTTAAATGAAAAAATGGGGAATGAAAAAAATCAACGTTATTTGAAAATTTGTCTAACTCAAGGTTATTTCTTAACAAGCAGATGGTATGTTATTGGGTTGGGGAGAATGAGTCGGCGCCGAAAATGAAAAAAATGTCTGAAACTTCAATTCGACTTCGTGAAATAATATGCGTTTGATATGAGTAGAATGGTTAACTAATTCTCTGCAAAATGACATTTAAAAGAAAATTCAAACAGCGCCTCCGCTCAAGAAAAAGCCATTTTTTCACAAAAACTACAAACTGTGATCTAGAAAAACCATTGGTGGGATCTTCCCTGCAAATTTGGCAACTTAAGTAATTGAATGTGCTCTATCTTTTTTATATAAACACCAAAGAAGGTTTATGTGAAAGAAACTGTTCAAATGATGAGTCGGACTCTTTGCCATTTTAACCAGCTGCGTTTCGAAGTTCATAAACTCCACGAAAGAAAAGCTTTGTGGAATCTCTCAAAAGTCATTTTGTAGAGAAATAGTGGATCCTTTTGATGAAACCAAACGTATGTTTAAAGAAGGCTTTATGTGTGCAAAAAGTCCCTTTAAAGTTTGGCGCCGACTCATTCTCCCCAACCCAATATATAGAAAACTATATAGCTTTTTCTGCTGGTTTCCAAATAATGTTGAAGAATCAGGCGAACTTTTTAATTACCTATAACTTTTCGAAATAGAAAGCTTACTTTTTGTATAGAGTCTTCAAGTAAAGTTTTGACTGTTATGAGTGAAAAAGTCAACAAACTTCAAGAGATTTTCAGGTGAGCTCCTTTTTTAATCACACAAGAATACCAAATTCAAGGTGAGATCAGCCAGAAATTGCTTAGTAATATGTGGCCAAACACAGGTTAACAAATGTAAGTGCAATGTAAAATTTCCTTTATACTCAAAAAGTAAATTACTCTACATTTTCTTCCGCCTTTTTGAGAAATTATCGGGTTTCAAGTTTACTCGAAAATCCTTTGAATTCAAAAAATAATTGCTGATCTTGGCATTTTTTCATTTTTATGCCAATAATTGTTGGTTTCTTTCCTTCAAACGTTAGGAGGAAGGATCAAAGTTGAGGAAGTTATTAGAAGTACCATGTAGCCGAGAAATCGGATGACATTTTCAAGAGATTTTGTCAAGAGGCAAAAAGATGTTCGATGTAGCGAACTTTGTAAAATTACTGGATACAACTAGTGTGGAAATGAATTGTTTTTGAGAGAATTCGAGAAACGTTTCCATTTGCTCGTAAGCTATGATAGACTATAAACAGAGTTATCTTGCGAAAGGTTTCCAAGTGATTTCTCAGAGAATGGGTACAAAGTAGAAGCGTTAACATCCAATTGTATGTATTGTTAGTGCTTTACTTAGTTCAAAACCTATTTATTGTATAAGTAACTGGTTTTTGTACTGAGAATTTTTGGATTGAAGAAAATTGAAAATCAATTCAATGAAGTTTCGATGGAAAATGATGAAACTTTAACCTTTTATATTAAATGAATTTAACAGATAAATTCGACTCGGCTCTATGTGTCTATTCCCTAAATTCGGATCTGAGTCATTGTCTACGGGTGGCTAGTTTTGAATACTCAAAAAGATAACACTGAAACTTTGTGTTTTGATTTTTTTTCTGAGAAACTAACCAGCTTTTTGAAGTGTTTTTTATCGAAATGTCTTGCAAACAGCGCCGATTCTGATTAATTCTGGACATTCAATATATCATTAAAAGTTTTTGAAAATATGGAAACTATAAAAGACTAAAAACAAAAAAGAAAGTTAGGTTATATAGAAAAAAATAATCTCGGTTCGTCTGTGCGCGCACTACGCGAGCGGGACGCTTTAAGTATTTTGAAAAGCGCTGAAAACGTGTCTAATGAAACTTCATGTAGTTGTGCCTTTAAAAAAAAATTTTTTGCAAAAAGTCACAGTGGTGGTCACTGGCGGGGGTCGAACCCGGGTCGAACCATCCACTGTGCCATGGGTGCCAATTTGCATTTTACGCTGGAATTTGCATCGTGGGGTTTTCAAACATAGGGAATTCGAATTCGTTTCTGGCAATTATTTTTACGATTTCTGGAGGCCGTTCTGCTGGTTTCTTTTAAAATGAAGATCTGGTCGCTATAAATCTGTAGATCTCTGTTTAGATCTTTTTTACATGCCGCTTATTTAGTTTTGAAGAAAACATTGCTGCTCAGGTAAGCGAAGAATGGATAACCGATGTTTTCAGATTACTGTCACTTCTTAAAGTTTTAGCACGAATCGATCTTTACGGTCGTCAGCCATGAGATACATCACGCAATTCTTGGCTTGATCTCGAGTGATCCAAAACTTCTAGTCCAAAAACACAAGAAGTGGGAAGTGTGAAGTGCAACTGTGAATGAAAATGATAATTAATAAATGTAAATTTTAAAATTTAAGCATTGATAATGGGCATTCGGCCATGTACGCGCGAGTCAACGATGCCTTTTTCCTTAAGAGTTGGGTTCGCTTTTCGCTGCAAAAGCGGATCGAGAATGAGACAACTTTATGTGAGTTCTAGATGACTAAATTATGTTAAATCTGATATTTTATAGCCTAAACACGGGTTATCTTCTTAGATAATCATATCCTTTTTCAGGAAGACCCTCCAAAGGGAAAATTCAATCAATGGAGAGACGCCTGCGACGTAAACAATAGAAATTTTCCTTTTTATCCTAGAATATATCCAAAAATTTCTTTTTATCTACGAATTTTTATTCTTAAATACTCATTTCTACTTTTATTCTTAAATATTCGTTTTGCATAAGCTAACCATAAACTATTGCAGAGATTGGGAAATTGCGATTGTGAATTTCCGAAAGTAATTCGAGGAAAAAAATTTTTCTGTTGGTAGGCTAAAAATAACAGTTCCTTGT